AACTAATATATTTATACGTAGAAAATACTGAATCGCATATTAACATTATAATTTTAACATTTCGTGACATCTAACACATAACTAGTAATTATTAACTACACTTGTAATACTTGTCTAACAATTTAAAAAATATAATCTCGACGTATACTATTACCGATTCAAGCAAAATAAATAATCGATCTTTTTAAATTAGTGAACCGGTCCCCTTACATAGTTCGTTAGGATATTCCCCTAAGCTGTTATTGGTTCTTCCACATAGTGCAACTTAACTTGTACAATTTTTTGGAGAGATTTTATTTTCGGATCTTCGAATGGTATTCAAATCGTTCTTTTTCGCACAACTCCAAAAATTAAATGCCGTACGTTCAGGTTAGAATCATTGCGACAATGTACATTATAATAATTAATATTTCGTTGCGCAGGGAAATAGGAGATTTATGTCCCAGTAGGTACGTGTTTCTCATTCCTAATCCAAACGGTTTTCTTTTCATTGTTCTATGGAGGAACGTTTTATTTGATTTCGTTTTCAGCGCGATGTGTATTTCTGTTACACTGGTACCGTTTGGTCAGTTTCAACCGAGCAGGAGGCTCGCGTATCTGGCGAAAGAACTTCATACTTATTTTGATTGCATTCATAGTCTTTCTGAATTTTGTTCATCTGCAAAACATCTACTGATCCATCTTTACACGGGAAAAACTGTGTTGAAAACCGCGAGTAACAAGTACATCATTTTATTATCAATTTATTGTAAAACTGTATATTTATGCTATAACATTTGAAACAAGAAACTTCGTTGCTTGTTCCACAAATTTCGAACAAGTATTGGGTTGGCAACTAAGTAATTGCCGATTTCAGTTATAGACGTCTCTCACTCCCATTTTTATGATATCCGTAAATGTTATATTATAAAATTATTATTATTATTATTATTATTATTATGTTATTTTTTATTATCCGTGAATGTTAGCAACTGAACAAATTGAATGCAGCGGTCAAGGAAAAGCGACCAGAATATTATGGTTATTAATATTGAATATTATGACCCTATTATGGGACGCTTTTCGGGGGGTATAAGATTGCCAAGATTGTACGAGCGTGCATCTAATATGGAACGCCATTTTTGTATCATATTCCCGTGTTTCGGATTGATTGTCCCTATTTTGAAACGCCTACTTCAAATGTTCTTTCCAAAATAGAGGCATTGAATCAACTGTTCAATAAATCCGGACGATGAAAAAATTGAAGTACACAATATGGAACAGTATGTTATTGTTTAGAAACGCTCGTATTCGAATGAACAATATTTTTTACAGCTGATTGTTACGAACGGTATTTATGCGAGTGAATTTATAAAGAACGATATTCAAAAATATAGGTAGAATTTTTATATATTGGGTTGGCAACTAAGTAATTGCCGATTTCAGTTATAGATGTCTCTCACTCCCATTTTTATGATATCCGTAAATGTTATATTATATTATTATTATTATTATTATTATTATGTTATTTTTTATTATCCGCGAATGTTAGCAACTGGACAGATTGAATGCAGCGGTCAAGGAAAAGCGACCAGAATTGGTCAATCGTAAAGGTGTGATTTTCCAGCAGGACAATGCTAGGCCGCACACGTCTTTGTCCATTCGGCAAAAATTGATGGATATTGGATGGGAATTGATGTTACACCCACCATATAGCCCTGATCTCGCGCCATCGGATTACCACTTATTTCGATCCCTGGACAACTCCCTTCGTGGTAAAACTTTTAATGTGATAATGAAACGCTGTAAAATCTCACTTAACTCAGTTTTTGGCCGAAAAGGATCAGACTTCCTACGAGCGTGGAATTTTCAAGTTGTCAGAGTGATGGCAAAAGGTCATCGAACAAAATGGAAAATACATTACAGATTAAACTTCGTTCCAAGTAAAAAAAATTTTTTATTTCATTGAACAAATCGGCAAT